TGTTGGACAGAGACACGACAACAATTGTGTCAAGATGAAAATATCTCACCAGAAGCATAGACACCTTCAGGTTAAGTTGAACATGCGGCCACGCCTACCCGATCTCAGGGATTTCGAGTATACATAAGGCAGTTTAGAGACCACGCCGTCGCTTGAAGTGAGGGACTGCAGGGATTTCTGCGGTCGCTCATGTCCCTTACATCAAGGGTGGTGCTTTCTAGTTCGCTGCGGACGGTTGGGCGTGTCAGGCAGTATGAGTGTGTCACGCCGTCAAAGCCGTTCTCTGCCTTCTTGTTGAAGCGCGCATGCGACAAAAAGTGGTAGAAAACGAGTAATACGAACGATATGATACAGTCATATCATTTGCTCGCTTTGGTGGAGAACGGGTTTGGCACCGCGCCAAACTCATCCCGCCTTGTACGCCCAACCGTACGCAGCGAACTACACCATATCCTCATCAATCGTGGCGTCGCGAGCTCCGATGGTTACCCGTTGTACCCCCGTGCCACACCAAAACCGCTGAAACCATACCTTGCGCCATTTTGATTTGAAGTTCATCGGCGTTCGCCAGATAAGCAGATGTGACACCAAAACGAGCAGAAGCAACCTACAAAAAAAAACTGACAATAATGAGTAGGACACATAAGTATATTAAATTATAAACCTGGGGTAACGGAGGTATACAGTATCCCTATACTCGCGTGGAATCAAGTGTTCGGGTCCCGTGAACGCACACAACGTCCCCCATCGCGTCCCACTGCGTGAAAGCACACAATATGCCCCACTAGGAGCCTTCACACTGTGCCCGTTTCTTAGAAAGGTGGGGAAAAAACTGCAGAGTCCCATCCCCACTCTACAGTGTTTTTCCACCTTGAAGGGAGTGGGCAGATTTGCTGGAGGCGGACCGTTGCGTCATTGGTGGGAGGGCTGTGAGAGGGCATTTGGTCACACCCACTCATCCCTTCCACCAGTGAAGTTTCAAACAACCATCGAGCCGTCGTGCCCACTGCCTCTAACCGAAATTGGATGCTGGTGTTGAACAAAGGAGAAAAAAAGATCAATTTGCAGAACGAGATGGGAACCCAAATCCCATTTTCGCAGTACAACTACTCCACATACATAGTTACAACGGTGTGAAGCTTACCACTCACCTGTTTAATAGCCGACCGTAGATTGTTATTTGGATCTTGGTTTTTCGCATAGCGCTCCGGTTTCTCGCCACCTTCACCAGTGTTAGATTTGCCACCGATGCGATTCATGGCGATAGCAAGCGTTGTATGTGCCTCCCAAGAGATGGACCCAAACGACATAGCTCCTTAAAAGTCGTCCTATTTCGGAGACTGCGGTTCATTTTCGACGCG